ACACAACTAAATGATACTTTAGGGGCAAAAAAAAAGAAAATAAAATATCCTAACTAGCTCAGAGAAGCACCTTGGCAAACTGTTGATGCAGCTATGACTTTCCTTGGCAGCATGTGGTTAGTCTGGGCAGCCAGAGGTCCCTTCTCTGCCCATGTTGCCAGTGCCAGGCAGGGCATTGCTGCTGGTACCAGGACATAGTAGACAGGTGTGCGGGAAAGCCACCTGATGTTTGGGGAGTGTGGAGGTGATTCAGGTGTGAGTCAGTTCTTCCTTCTTTCTCAGACCTTTTGTATGAATAAAGCAAGTTTCTGTCTCAGCATCCTCACAAGTGAAAGGGCTGGGGAGGGGACAGGGTAAAGAAAAGGGAGCAGAAAAGCCAGGTTTGGGATGGGGCTGAGGAGAGGAGGGCAATCCTCCTCCCTGCTTAAGTCCTCTTCAGGAAGTTCCCCATGATGTCCAAAGGTCCCTGACAGCTGCTGCCCTGTTTTCTGCTGACTTGGCAGTCTTTTCTGTACTTTTGTGAGGCCACATTTGGAGAGCAGGGATCTGCATCCTGATCCAGCAGGATGCTGCATTTTACAATCAGGGAGGTGAAACACTGGCACAGGTTGTCCAGAGAGGTGGTAGATGCCCCATCCCTGGAGACATTCAAGTATTCTTTCTTTAAGAAGTCCTGCAAAACAGAGAGGAAGAAGGAGCTGGAATGCTGCCTGGCTGATGTGCTGTTGGGAGCTTGAGCTGCTGCTGGAGGGTCTTGAAGGAGCTCTAGGACACATCAGAGTCCTATCATGATGTGAGTTAACATCAGAGGGGAAAAAACAATTGCTTGAGCAAAGATGACCAGACTTAAAAAGTAGAAGGGTTTGATCCCAGGACCACAAGACAGAAAACATGGATGTGGGGATCACAGGAGAAATCATTATCTGGAAATGGATAATATGGCATCAAATAGTCCCATGAAATCCCAGTCCCAGCCTCCCCAGTCTTGAGGTTGGTTTAATAATTCATATGATTCTATGAATAATCATAGCTTAGCTGTAAGCTAGGAGGAGGACTCTTTCTTTGCACAATGGGTTGTTCCAAAGGACTTTAGAAATCAGTTACAATATATTTTCAGGCTTATCTGGTCTATAAAGAGTTTAAAAATGTTTGAAAATTGTCACATAGGAAGGATTTGAGAAGAACACTTGTCTTGCCTTAAGGAAGAAGTTCAGTGTAGTTAAAACCTTGGAAGCTAAGAAGTTCATCCACTTTCAAACTTCTCCTTGCTAAAAATAGCATCCTTGTTATGCAAACTTGGGCCACAGCAGGAGAGGTAGATCCCAAACTTGCAAGCAGTGTTAGTTTTTTTTCTCTCTTTTTTTTTTTTTTAGCTTTTTTTTAGAGTTTTTTAATTGTGCTGGTGAATTCTGACATACGGGTATAACTTTACTATGATGTGCTAAATACATTCAATATCACATGTAATAAACCAGTATATAAAAGATACTGTCCTGATATTCTGTTTTTTTGGGGGGTGCTATTTGATGTTCTGGTGGATTTGGGGTATATCTATGTCTCCTTTCAGCAATTTACTTTGTTTTAACTTTCTTAATACATAGATAGGAGATTTCTGTTTCAGTTGAAAACAAAGATCCTTTCACAGGACCAAGTTATTCTGCTGTTTGTGACAATGCAGACCAGAAAACTCTTTCTTATAATATTTTTCATAAAAACATGTGTTTGCTTTTTTTTTTTTTTTTTTAAGAAGAATGCTTTACAATTCTGTAAAATCCCAAGGATGAGAGTTAAAGCAAACATACTTAAAAGCAAAGAGGAAAAATAAGCAAAGAGATCAAAGGAAGGCTGAAATGTGCATAAACACCATCTCCAGGAGTGGTGCTTTAGCTGGCATACCACGTACCGCAGAGCTTTCAATAAAAGCCTGAGATCTGGCTGTGTGGCTGCTAACAGATTAAGAAATGCAAAAACGTGTTTTCAAACGTGGATAATTTGACCTTTAGTTGAAATTCAGCAAAAGAGGAAAACTGTGAACCTGGCCCTGCAGTTCATGGGCTGGAAACAGGATAATCGTCCTGCTTGACGAATTTCCCACTGCTAGGGGTCTAGTTGCTTTTCTCCTCGTGACAGAGACAGCTCCTCAGGTGTCCCAAACCCTCTGCATGTGGCTGTACAACTGCAGGGGGTTGTTACCTCCTTGCTGGAGTTCTACACGTCACAGGAAGGAAGCCTTTAAACCTCTACCCACTGTAGGGGCAGCTTTTTGAATGGTTAACAGTATAGGTGCTGGGTTGCCAGTGTTACATGAGGGAGGGCTGGGACTCACAGGGAACTTCGCAGGAGTTTCCCAGGAAGGCTGTGTGTGCTACCGACATGTTCTTGAGTTTTATTCATTAGCTGCATTTTTGATCAACCTGGGTTTAACCAGATTAACAGTGACTTCAAATCCAGCGAGCAACAAGTGGAGAAAGAGCAGCAACAAAAAGGAAACAATGCCCTTTATTACATATTGATAACAGACAAAGCTTTGCCACTCACCTAAAAGTAAGTGAAGCTGATGTGTTGTTAGCAGTGGTGTTACAAACGGTGAAGTGCTTCAGGCCTGGGACAAAGCCTATTGCGGAAGCTGGCAATGTAGTGAAGCACAGCAGTGTGACAGCCAACTTCCCTGCTCCCACAGTACCTCCTGGCTAGTAAAGGCCAGGGTGGGTTACGTGCCCTGGATGAGAGGGTTGGAGCTCAGAACAAGTGGCTTTTATTCCCGCTTCTCTGTTTAATGTGCTTTTTATTCCTGGACCATGTCAACAAACTTCTTTCTTCACTTTCCAATCAACAGGCTTTACTGCATGGAGTGTTGCGATACTTAAAGTAGCCTGACAAAGTGGCTGAAATATGTTACCTATGTGTAAAGTGCTAATTTTTTTCAAGCATAATAAAAGTGGCTGGGGAAACTGGGTACCTGAAGCATTGGGAAATGATGACAAAGTTAATGATGACCATATGGAGAGCCAAATAGAAGCAAACCCCTCTTTATTACCATTGGGAGCGCAGATATGATGATTCTGGGAGCAGGGCTATGGGTGTTTCCAGAGATTCTCATTAGAAGTAAATGCTTTTATGGTGAAGCAAAATTTCAGGCCAAAGCAAAGAAAAGCCCCCAAAGTAAATTTCCATAGCTCTGCTGAATACGAAGAAGGTTGAAGTGTGCCCATGTGCAGAAGAAGCAGAAACCTGAGTAATATTTAGGTCAGGCTTTATGTCCACTGAAGCCAGAGGTTATTCCCAGGGATTACAGAGCTAACAGCACAGATCCTGATGTAAAATTGAACTTTAGCTTTTACTCATTTTTTTGGCACCTGTTCTAGGTACTGGCCATTTCCTAACATCATAATTATACACAATAGTATTTTGCCTTGGAATAGAATAGAATAGAAATCTGGAGATCATTTCCACTAAATATCATTTTCCACTAAATATTTAGCCTGAGAATTTTCAGTTATTAATGTGCATTTAATCCCCTTCCAATGTCATTGAACATGAAAATGTAAGTGCCTAAATAACTAATTATATCCTTGGAATCTGGTTCTTGTTTCCCCCTTGTTTTCCCATTATTTTAGGGACATCTTCCCCAAAGCAAAATTCTGTTATTTTGGCATTCCCTGCCAGCCCTATCAACCCTTTCAGATGTATCTGCAAGCGAAGGAGTGTTCTGGCCCTTGGATGTGCACTGACCAACAGCCTATCTCCAAAACATATTTCTCCTGAGAATGAGTCACTGGATAGCGAGTTCAGCGGTGTTTATTTTCCTGCCCTGCATGAAAGGGATGACGCGTACTGCAGATCTTGAAGCTTCTAATGTAATTTAAACCTGCTTGTAACAAAGAACAGGGAATAATATCAAACTTCATTTCAGTGCACTAAAGGGAGAAGGTGCCATCTGTTCTTTATATTGCTGTTAATGAATATGCAGAGAAGACGGACCCACTCGCCACCCAAGCGGTGGGGCAGCTGGTGAAGCAGGAGCAGCAGGAAGAGACATCCCCAAAGGGACTTCCTTTCAGCATGGCAACTACCAGTGCATCAGGTACAGACACACCCCCAGGAAGGGGACCCTGAGCTAGGATCTGCGAGCGCCTCAACCTCAGGAACAGCTTTAAACTGGGAAGGGGTATGGGGATCCCATTTATGTAGCCAGAGTCTCCCATCAGGAACCAAAATGCCACAAGCATGGAGAGCATCTGGAGCAGCCTCAGCTCCTCCAAGCACTATGCACAAGCACTATGCACAAGCAATTGGTGCCAGAAAAATTGCTCCTTGCATTCTTAGTCATTTGTATTTAACTCAGATTAGCTGTGAAAATGCATGGCAGAAGCTTCGTCATGGTGTGTGTTATGTCAACAGGAAACAAAGGAGGTGTACGTATGACTTGTTGCATGTGGAGGCAAGGGAGGAAAGGCTGGCAAGTCATCTCAAGCTGCAGGAATACCTTTATGGTTTTAGGAGTAAAGTCTGTGGTAAGATCGTGTTATAAGGAGGGTTTGGATCGAGGCCTTCTGGGAGAGATTAAAGGTAGGCACAGAATTAATGCATGGCAAAGAATGAAAGCTTGTCAAGAAAGAGAGGTAAATTATGGAAGGAGGAGGACAGTGTCTTGACAGAAGGAACAAAGTGAAAAATCAAGATACTGCAGGTGAAGGCTTTACGCAAGTGGTCATGCGAAGTTCAAAGTCAGACTCTAGCAAAAAATGGCCTGTAAAGAGGCATGACCTGTGACAGCCAGCATAAACTAACCCCCAGGAGGTAAGTGTGCAAAATATCATAACTGCATTGCTGTGCAGCAGAATTTGCAAGAATCAGTGAACTATGCGTAGCCTGGACAGAGAGGAAGATGCTTCTACCTCAAGTAAATCCTGCAGAGAAACAAAGCCAGTGCAGGCTGTCAGGACTGAACCAGCCATCTGAAGGAAGAGGAGCATCCATGGATCCCCACGGGTAGAGGGTAAAAGATCCAATTTCTAGCAAGTGCAGATGGAAATGCTATTTGAGTTACTGTCATGCCTCTGGTCCCACCAAAAGGATGCATCTGTGCTGAGCCAGAGCAATCAAGGAGGGGTCAGAGGGATGTCCTCCAGGAGACATGGATCTTCTGAATCCAAGAAAGAGGTCGAACAACTCGTAGAGTGGGGCTTTGCAGGGCCTCTTGGTACACAGTGCTGACCATCAGGGGTTCAGAACATGAAGCACAGTCCTTGGTTCTGGATGTTTTCTGAACCATAGAGTATAACCATTTTCCCTCTGCGTATCAAACCTTGGGCTCTGGCTTCAGGAAGAGGATCATCCCACAGGATGACTGTGCAGTGTGTTCATTCTGTAATTGTACCTCCAAATGAAATGGAAGAGGGCCAATGGTCTCTGAGCAGACCACTGTCGTTCCTCATAGACCTGTACTTTCGCAGGGTGTCTTCATGGCAGCAGCCTCTGCCTCCCAGGCAGCTGCATTGTTCTCACTGGTCTGGTGCAAGCAGTTTCCAATGATCAGAACATAAGGACAGTTTTCTCCTCAATACCAGCTTTTTTCTTTTCCAGACTGTTTACTAAAATGCTTGCTTTAAATATATGTGTCCCTCCTTAATTTATTGATCCACGGGAGAAAACTGCATTGTGTCTGAAACAGTAAGGCAATCTAAGGTGGGGGATGATCAAATAAATTATAACGAGAGTGTCAGAGGCATTCCAGATCCCGCACCCTCTTCAGATGTCAGTACACCACAAGAACCAAGCAGAAGCAGGAAGTGAGTGTTGAAAGCCCATGTGATGCTCTTGAAGGAGGAATCAGAGGGATTTCCTCCAGGGAACACAGATCATCTGAATCCAAGGAAGCACCTGCAGCAGCTCTTCCCTGTCCTGCTGGACACAGGTAGGATTTCTAATCACAACAGTGCTCCCAGCCTTTCTGGTGACTAACACCAGTGGACTCAGTGGCACATGTTGGGTATTTAATAGGCTTTTCCCAGCTACCCTTGGTCATCACTGCATGTTGGTTGACAACGAAAAGCTGATGGTCTCTGGACAGTGGAGGACCAATGCAGCAAGGAACCAGGTCATCATTGGTAAGGTAGGCCTGGGTTTGAGTATGCAAGCTGGGGGAGCACAGGTGAGAATTCAGGTGAGGGTCCCATACCTCTGTGCAGCACATGCTTCACCTTGAGGTATATCTGCATGCGAAAGGGAAGGGATTTCCACTGGTACTTTGGTACACATGGAAAACCGCAGCTTTCTTCCCAGCTCTCCTGTTGCCAAGGGCATGGTCTTCATGTGTTGTCAGGGCCACATCCCTCTTTTTCTTGAAGCTTTGCCCATAGACTGCTCTATAGCACATTACAGACCTCCAAGCTGCACTATTTGATGTTGAGCACTACAGATCTCAAAAACTAGCTCCAGAAAGAATGCATACATCCATAGCTGGGCATCCTTGTGTCCTGAGAGAGAGAAGCACACTGCTCAGAGCTTTGACTTTGTGCCCAGGGGAGTACAGGGGTTGCTCCCAGAGGGAAGACCCTCTGGCTAAGGTTCGATGGAGGCCCCTCACAAAGACCCTAGAGCTACTCTTGGGGGAGGAAAAGTGCTAACAGGAGGCTGGCAGGCTGGGGACAAGGCTTTGTTAAGGATTTCCCATGGAGGTGTTCACAGAGGCTGTGCTGGGACCCTGCTGGTACATTGCAGGTAGAGAAGAGGATCTTTCCACCCTGGCTTGCTCCAGTAGCGTGGCCCCATACATCCCAGCTCTGCATGTGCCCATGCAGGCCCAAGGGCTCCCAGGCACCAGCTGCCTCAACTTCCACAGAGGATCAGGATACCTTCCTGGTGTTCAGCCCTTCTGAGCCCTCTGGGTGGAAATGTCTGCGGTGAAGTCCCTCCATAAATCTCCATCTCTCTGCCTTTGCCTTGCATTGACAATCCAGCAGTTACTCAATATTTATAATCCACTGGGGCCTAGAAGTGTTACACAGTCTATCAAAATATGTGTATTATTTTATATCAAATCTAATGCTGAATCCACTCATATGCTGTAAGTAATGTCAGCTCTTTCACCTTCATCTTCCTGGCATTGTGTGCTGATGGTGAGGAAAAACGCTGGGGTTTAGTTTATATGGTTAAAACCTTTGTGGCATAGGGCTGATTTGCAGGATGCCTCACGGGATGCTTTTAAAAACAAGAATTAGTCCTTCTCAAGTGTTCCTGTTGTTGATCAGGATCGAAAACATATGTGGGAACAGCATGTACAGAGCCCACAGCACTGGCGGTGACTGGAACCCATCTCAATCACTCACTTCTGAAGATCCATACCTAAGGTACCATGTTTTTCCAAACACAGAGGAAGACGTGGTCTCTGCTTTCTGCTCCTCAGGCACCCCGAAGCATCACATTGTGATTAGGACGCTCAGAATCACAGGATGGGAGCTAAATGCTAAGATTGTCTATGGAATTGCTAATGAGGACCTGAAGATGACATGGTGAATGATAGCAGATCAGTAATTGCTTTTCCCTTATAGTGGCTGAGCAATTAGAAATGGAAGAAGAAAATCAGGGTGAAATCTGAGACCTGTGCTGTTTAGAGTACCTGCTTCTGTTTATTTTTAACCCTTTCTTTTATCCTGCTAATCCCTTCTGCAATGTTTTCTCTCCCTCAGCCTGTGCAGTGCTGCATTATGTTTGCAATGCCCTGTCATTCACATCATGTCTGCAAGCTGCCTTCTTCAGACATGAGCCTATTTAGACAAGTTGTCAGGCTGAATGGGAAAAATCTTAAATCAATGTATTTCAGCATGCAATCATAGATAAGCTAATTTACCTGCTGCCCGGTTCAGCCTGACAGTTTAAATTGAGGTCTTTCAGGCATAGTGCCTCTGAAAGCCTCCTGATTAACAGAGCCATTTTTATTAGTAGGGTGACAATGCGATTGTTTTATGGTAATTGTTATCATTTGGACCTGTGTATATGCAAATGAGGGAGATTAAAGTAAAGAAAATATAAAGATGATGAATATGCAGCACACAGGCAAGGTGGCAGAGGGATAGAAATGTCTGCCACATTGAAGTTCCCTGGTGTGGCCAGGGAAGAGCTGGATGCCACTCCAGGAGCAGGAGATTCCCAGTCCATGGTGGCAGCCAGCAAGAAAACCACCTGCAGGTATGAAACTGCACCTGCTCTCGGTCCCATGTTTCTGCTTTCCTGTGCCCTGCCAGCGATCAAGGTGGCTGCCTCTCTGACAAAGGGCTTTGGGGATGGAAAGCACATAAACAGGCAAAAAGGATGAAACAGCAGCACAGTCACATCAGCACAAGTGAGACTTCTAGAGATGGACCCACTAATCCTAAAGGTACAACCTTTTTGGGGTGGATTTAAATGTATTTCAGCTGTTCTTTTGCTGGCTTTCCTGCTCATTACTTCCTGTCACATTTATTTCTCTTGTTTTGGTGTTTGATTTGTTTTATAAAGTGAAGTTTGGATTGAATACATTGCCTGTCCAGGCATGGAGCTTTCTAGTCCTCATTGACAGGAAACCACACAGCAAGAGTACCCCACTGGTAAATCTAAACCCTCACCTTTGAAGCACAACCTCTATAAATAAAAGATACTCCAGTCTCTATCCCTTCAGCTCTGCTGCCCCTGAAATCAAAAGCAAAACCCCAGTGGCAAGGTCTGGGCCCTCAGTGTCATGACTTTCTCACTGAAACCACCAGGAGGTCAGGAGTGTGCAGATGCTCACTGAGCCTGGATCTGCCCACTAGGAGCTGGACTGAGACCAGCAACTCACTTTAGATAAAGCACCAAGCATGAGATCATACCCCTTTCTTTCCTTTTTACATTACATTACAGAGGCTTACAGGAAGGGAAGAAGGACAGCAAATTTTGTCTCTATTATAAACATGTCAGGCTTTTTCTGCTCTGTAATATATTTTGGTGTCCGCCTGGGAGAGCAGGTCTGGCTGCTCCCTGCAGCTACAGCTGCACAGCCCAAGCCACTGCAGCCTCTCTTTTGCACCACCTGCTGTAAATGAGGAGGCCAGTGTAGCCCCTCCATTCTTCTTAACGTGCCATGATCCTCAGCTATTTATGCGTGCCTTGCAAGCCTCAGCTACTCATTCTCACTGCATCCCTGAGCTGCCAGTAGCTGCTGTTTGCCTGCTCCATCTCTTTCAGAAGAGCTGCTGGAGCCCAGACTGACTGCCTTGCCCAAGACCCTGAAGAACGGTGATGGCAGCAAGAAATGGGGCATAGTAAGGGTCATGCCTGAAATCGTTATGCACCTGCAGATGGGACTGCATTGCTTTTGCAAGGAATCACAAGTGATATCACAAATTTGCTGGCATTTGTGCCTAAGCAGGTGGGCCATGCAGTGATGTATCAAAGATGCTATCCTCCACCAAGTATTGAACGTCTGCTCAGGAATCTGGTCCTGTCCTGGAGGTCAGGAGGGATCACAGGGAGCATGCACTGTGCTGGTCTTGGCTGGGGTAGAGTTAATTCTCTTCACAGAAGCTGCTATGAGGCCATGTTTTGGATTTGTGCTGGAAACAGCATTGATAACACAGGGATGCTTTCATTATTGTTGAGCAGTGCTTACACAGAGCCAAATCCTTTTCTGCTCCTCACACCACCCCACCAGCAAGCAGGCTGCGGGTACACAAGGAGTTGGGAGGGGGCACAGCTGGGACAGCTGACCCCAACTGACCAAGAGATACCCCATGCCATATGGCATCATGCTCAGCATATAAAGGGTGAGAAGAAAAAAGGAAGGGGGCGAGTTTAAAGTGATGACATCTGTCTTCGCAAGTAGCTGTTACACGTGATAGAGCCCTGCTTCCCTGGAGATGGCTGAACACCTGCCTGCCCATGGGAAGTAGTGAATGAATTCCTGTTTTTCTTGTGTGCGGCTTTTGCTTTACCTGTTCAAGTGGCTTTATCTCAACCCATGGGTTTTCTCACTTTTCCAACTGTTTTCCCATCCCCACTCTGGGGGAGTGAATAAGCAGCTCCATGGGACTGAGTGGCCCACCGTTAAACCATGATGCGCACACATTCCTTAGAAGTTTAATTACTTCAGGTGCCAAAGATAGGAGACAGTACTTACATAGCAGAGGTTTGTCATGAGTGGGAAAAGCTGAACAGACTGAAGACACATTTCTCTCTCCTTTTCTGTCCTGTTTCTTTCTTCTTTTCCTCTGTTTCCAAAGTATATTTACATTTTTTTTTCCTTATGAGCCTCTGTTGTTCTGTGCTATTGCCATTTCATTCACCATAACAGAGCACTTGTTTGGTTTGGCATTTTGTTCAGCTACTGTGTGCATCATAGACTCAACTATGGACCCAATCAAGGTCTCTTACCACTCCCCTCCCTCACACTCCAGCTGGCAGTACAGAGATTGAAAAACTCAAAGGGTCTCCACCAAGCAGAAAGGATGATAAAAGTGGTTTGTCATTGGGGCTTACCTCTGGTTCTCTTACATTTACCATGATATAGAACCTTTCTTGCAGTCTCCTACCCCATGTCAGCTGAAATGTGGTGACTTGCTGCAGTCCCACTGAAGCAGTGACTCCCTTGCTGCACCATGCACTGAAGGATTGCTTCACTGCCTCCTACCACCTCAGGCAGTTTGCTCCTGTGTGCTAGGCAGTACCATCTGTGGGAAAAACCTATCCCAAACCTCTCGCTGCTCACACAGTTGATCCATTTGATGTCTCTCCTCTAAATTAATCTGCCAAATCGCATCTTCATTCTGCAGTTTCACCACTTCTACTGCTTTCAGTAGTGTTTCCCTGAGAACCTGACACGATAAAGCCACAGACATATTCCAAAGTGCTCTTCTCTTTGAGGAGCATTGGCCAAGCATCTTGCATAAAGTACTTTCATTC